TATTTCAACGCCCATTGGGAGGTGGGATGGCTTCTTTAGGTGAAGGGTAATATTTTCTTTACCTTGATCAATTAGATCATTTGTAAACTAGTACATAAAATGCTCAGTGTAATGATCAAAACTGATGAGAATGTAGATTAACCGATAACAGCGCTAGACCAATATAAACTTCATGAAACTGCATGAGGAATAAAGATTTTCATGTACTCGATTGAAGTTCAGAAATCTGACTTTGAATGATAAATTTATTTACATTTAATAATGAAGTGTCACCAGATGGGCGAACAAAAAACTAAAAAGACCTCATCTCAGTGCTGCTTAGACAAGGGGAGACGTCGCCTACTGGACACAAAAGTAAGAAGGGGAGCAGACGTTAGCTCAGACCACTATCTCGTGCAAGGAACATTCCAAATCAAATTAAAAGCTTTCAAGGAAACAGTAGCTGCAGATAGACCAAGAGCCAAGTTCAATACTCAGAACCTGAAGTACCAGGATACAGAGAACATCTTCACTTCAAACATAAGGGAAAAGGTGAAGACACAAATCAGCACTAGCGAAGAGTTCAGGATCGAAAAGCACTGGGACAACCTGAAAGCGGTGTGGAGTCAAACCTGTATGGAAGGTCTGAGCAGAAAGAAGAGACAGGAAAAACAACGGCTCACTGTGGACACTTTGAGACTAATAGAAGAGAGAAAGATGGTGAAACAAAAGATTATCCAGTGCATCGACGAGAGGGAAAATAAGGACTTCAACGCAAGTTACAACATGCCGAACAAAAGAAAAAGGAAAAGTGCCGGCAAAGACAAAAGAAAATATTACGAAGGTAAAGCAAGTGAAGCAGAACGGGCTGCAGGCAAAGGAGACCTCGCAGCACTCCACCAAACAATTAGGTTCCCATCGGAGAAGAGATCAACACACATTTATCCAGCGAAGGATGAAAACGGGAAGTTAATGACCAAATAAGTGGAGCAAAACAAGCACCGGGCTGAACACTTCAAAAGACTTCTAAATCGACCGCCACCGACAATGCATCAAATAAACACCATGGGAAGCAGGACCACCAATAATTATCCTGATTGCGGTAGACTGGATAATGAAACAGGCAGCGGGCATCCAGGAAACAGCCACAAAATAGACTACAACAAAAACTTGGAGGATCTGGATTTCTCCGATGACATATATATGTCTGATTTCCCACAAACTGGAGGATATGCAAGTGAAAAGCAACAAGCTGGCAGAAGAAGCACCAAAGATAGGACACCATTCGGGTGAACATAGGCAAAACGGAGGCGATGAAGATTTCTGGCCAACAGCAACAGGAACAACAACACACAACAATCAGCCAGCATAAATAGGAGAAATCTGAAAGAACCAACCTCCTTTAACTACCTACCTACCTGGGTGGCATCATTTAAGTTACGGGCGGACGGGACTGATGAAGACATCAAAGCGAGGATCATCGGGAAATTAAGGCAAGCTTTAATTACTCTCAAGTCTGTGTGGAGGCCAACAGCACTCAGCATGACAAATAAGATCTGGATTTTTAACTTCAATATGAAGTCAGTGCCACTTTGTGGACCAGAGACTTCGCGCGTCATGAGGAGCATCTCAAACAAACTTCAGACCTTCATTAACAGTTGTCTTCGCTCAGTACTACTCAAGATCAGATGGCCTGAAAAGATCAGCAATAGGGATCTCTGGGAGGGAAAATCCCAGTAGGAACCGATTGTGGAACAAATATGGATGAAGAAATGGAGGTGGATCAGTATTCTCTGAGAAAACAAACATCACTAAGGTGGAAGGTGAATGGGAAGCGGCGCGTTGGTCGTGAGTGCGAGGGCAACATGGACGAGGTAATGTGAAGAGAAGATGAGAGCATGTGGGCAGACGTGGAGCCAGGTGAAAACGTTGACTGGGAGAACCAAACGCAGTTGAAACGAGTTGAAATGAGAGAACGAAACTGAAGCCGTTGCAGCAATGAAATCTAGACCTTATTAGGGCTATTTGACCCCGTTTGTTTGTTCATCAGGAGAGCTTCGGCATAATATATAACATCACTGCCTACTATTGTTACTGAGCTTTGGAAATGACCAACGAAGCAGGACCTGTAAATACGGATGACGATTGAACGAAGTACGAACTGATCATACTCAAAGAAAACATGTAGAATAACATTTGGTTTGTAGTAATTTCTGATTTTGCCCCGAAATCTTAAACTGATATGAGCTAATATAGAGGTGTATCGCTTTGAAAACACATTGCACTCGCTTGTTTTACTCCACCGATTGCATTAACATAATTTAGTTCACGACTTTGAATTTTTCATTTTCTATGTGCGTTTTGATTATTTGCTTGAATCAGTACTATTATTGGCTTTGGATTTTATGTTAATTGTGAATTAAAGCTTTGCACATATTTATGTAGGAATTATTCGAAAATTTTAATATTGCAAGGTGAAATATGGATTGCAGAACCATTTTTCAGTTCTTAGAAATCCGTTCCTGCAGTTTAATCGGAAGTTCAGGGAAATGGTAATCAGTAAATTCTGCTTGTTTTGGAGGATGGTTGGGGAAATATTCTTTCTCTTAGGAAAGAATTAGGCTCATTGTCAGTAGAATAGGATGTTTTCATCCTGTGTATGCTGTACTATTCTCAACTGGGTGTTACAACAACACGGATAGCTAGTATCACCTGTAGGTGATAATAGTAAGGATTTTATTGCAATTGTTATTCATTTTCAAACAGTATCGACATACATTACATAAGGACATTCCGGATCTGAATTATTTTCAAGGGACTAAACTGTAATTGGTTTTGGTGCCACTCGTTTTTGCATACCTACTGCCTCTTCTTCCCAGAATTATGAATTGTAACTGTCAAACTGTAGAGATGTATTAGTTAATATAAACCAACCACTAAGTCTTAGCCCTATATTATATACATGATGATGATTCAGATTCAGATTATAGGGATAGAAGGCTCTTGTTGCTTATGTTAATCCTCGCGATATATATCTCTGCAGAGATCCAGTTTAACTTTGAATGCCTTCGCCGATGAAGCTGTTACTACCGTATCAGGTAAGGAGTTCCAGTTGTTGACCACTCTGTGGGAGAATCTAAATTCCACACGTGTTTTATACGACCTCGGTTTGAGCACCTTCTGGTGACCTCGTAAATGCATCCTAGAGTGAGAGGAAAGGTTTGAAAAGTCAATCCCTAAATCCTTGAATATACGATCAGCCGAGATTAAGTCGCCTCTCCTCCTTCACTATGATAATGGGAAGAGATTTAAATGCTCCAGCTTCATATCATAAGGAAGGTGTGAGGTACCACAAACTAATTTCGTTCCTACCCTCTGTACTCCTTCCAGGATATGTGCCTCATTTTTGAAGCGTGGACTCGCCGCTTGTATGCAGTATTATAGATGAGGTCTGACATATGTTGCATAGAGTACTTTGAACATACCCTCATCTAGTCGTTTGAAAACTCTTCGAAGTGCCCATAACATTCGAAAAGCCTTAGGTGCGGCTGGGTAACAGTTTGCCGATGTACTTAACTCATGGCTTACAATGATCTCCAAGTCTTTTTGTCCCCTTACATCTGGCAGTTCTGAGTACGACGTGTGAGACTTCTGACCTAGGTGCATTACCGCACTTTTCTTGGAATTAAGTTCCAGACTCGAGGTTAGCCTAATTGGCTAATTTATCTAGATAGATTTGTAGTACCAACCTATCATCGTTACTGTTTACGGTTTTCCATATCTTAATATCGTCCGCAAATAGTAAGGAAGATGAGGTAAGAATTTTCGGCACTTCACTTGCGTATAATAGGAATAGCAGGGGGCCAAGTACAGTTCTATGAGGTACTCCACTTAGTATTGCTTTCCACCCTGACAGTACACCCTTACCTTCTGCCTTCTATCCATCAGGTAGTCGCTAAACCCCTCACATAGGCGTTGGCCTAGTCCAAAACGTTTAAGTTTACTAAGAAGACCTAAATGGGATACCTTATCGAATGCTTTACTAAGATTGATAAATACGACGTCCAGTAGATGGTTTTTATCCCTGACCTCGACCCAGTCTTCCCTAGCTAACAGTAAGTTTATCAAGCAGGATCGTTTTGTCGAAATCCATGCTGTTCGACTGCCAGTAAGCCATGTTTTTCCGTATTAGCTAAGAGCTAATCCCTTATGAGTTTTTCTAACAGCTTTGCTATAATACAGGTCAGACTTACTGACCAGTAGTTAGATACCAACTGCCTGTTCCCATCTTTGAAGATGGGGCTTAGAAAAGCATCTTTCCAGTCCATGTATAGCTTAGACTGTGTCAGAGACATCTAAAAAATCCCCGTAAGTGGAATGTATATTATATCCGCCAAGGAGACTAGCGATCTACGGTGAAGTCCGTCTGGTCCAGGTGATTTGCCTAACTTTAGCGTAGACAGTAGTTTGAGAACCACTGCATCCTCTATCACAGTTGCTGACATTTTAGTGGCTGCATCAGTGACCTCGATATCCCATGAGTGGTACGATTGGGTGAAAAAAACATCGCAAAAGTATTCGGAGAGCTATGCAACCTTTGTTTCGTCTGACTCGGCAGCCTCTCCAGTGATGCTAATGAGAGACGGTATACCACTGCTAGTTTTAGTCCTGCGTTTGATATACGAGTACAGTCTTTTTAGATGATGCACACAATCCAGTACTAACTGTCTCTCATACCCTATACGACTTTTGTCCATCTTATACTTACAAAGGTTTCGAATTTTGAGGTATTCCATCCGAAACTCATCCATCTAATGATTCTCTGTTTCCTGGTAATTATCAAAGGCTGACTACAAAAGTTATTACAGTGTGTGTTTTGTGTATAGCCGGATAATTTCGTACAGAGACGACCGTATTTGGTTTGATTCATCAGAAAATACAGGATTCGTTTGGTGAACTTTCGTTAAGTTATTTTGAGAGTCGAATAAATTAAAAGACTAAGCATACTTATGGATTATAACTAAGAGAGGGAAAGCATCGGTAGAATTAAAAGCCTGTCAAGTAATGAGGTGTCTTAAGATACTAGGTTTTCTGGTGGTCACGCTACTGGAGACCTTAAGGTATACTCACGCGAAACTGACTGTAATTTTTTTTAGTTTGGACCGTCATATTCTCTTCCAGTCCCAGTAACATATCTCTGCTCAAATCCGATTTTCTTTTAAAAGTGCGTACACATGAAGCCAATACCTCTTGATCACCTTAATACACTGAGAAACTACACTCATCTTTGCATTTTCATCTTACGACATTCAATAGTCTCTGACTATACGTTTTTTGTTTTCGTTCTTATTCTATCCGTACGGCTTGGGTACAGGTGGCATGCTTACTTAAACTATTACACAGTAAAATTTATTCCTATACTGATGACAAATGCCCCTTTCGACAAATACGTGAGTTGTATTTACGATATTTAAATAGGTCAAATGATAGGTTTTCTATTCTTCTGCTTTCTGACCTTCTACGTTTCAGTTGTTTATCTTTATGGGTCAGCATTGGTGGCTTCATGTATAACCATTTTTCCTTTCTGGGCTTGCCATCAGTTGGTAAGCTTAGTAAGGTCTGAAAGTGTATCGGCCAAGAATCTAACATGGACCAAGTATATAAGTGGTGAGCATTCTGTTATTAAACCACTGAGACACCAGCAAATAATCTAGTTGATTTATTTATTATGATGTTTAGCAATTGCTCATTTGTTGAACAAAGAAAATTTGTATACCATATTAGTTTGTTTATTACATGTATTACACAGTGAAACAGTATTATTGTTTCACTGATGACAAGGTTTCGAACAAAATTTATTCTGGTTCATAATCATATCATCAATGATAATCAAACGACTTTGAAACTTGAGTTTTATAGTTTTCTTTGTCTTCTCCTATTTCTCGTCGTTCGGGTAGTAGAATTTCCCAGATATCTGACTGGACAGGTGTTGAATCATTCCTACTACACGTACTTCCATTCAGTTGATTCGATAGACAAAGCTTCCGTTGTTATCAATCTCTCCCTCCACAATGTTGGTATATTAGATTTTAAAACTGTCATCCTATCCCATCTAGCCTATTGTATGGTTGTGTGTGATTGCATGTAATGCTATGGCTGAACTATTCTCTAGATTTCTTATCTTATTTGAGTCAATCAATCTAGATTTTGCTAGGTTTTTATGTTTGACTAGTCTGACTGTCCCCGTTCTACTAGTTTGACCTATGTATTTGACCTGACAGTCATTACAGCAGGGCATTAGATGAACTGAATTGTTTCGTTTTAAAGGCTCCGCAGGACTGATCCCTTGAAACACAAAGCTTGTTTCTAATTGAGTTTGTGGGTTTGAATGCCACTTTTATTTCCTGCCTTGTGGCATTCAAACCCACAAACTCAATTAGAAACAAGCTTTGTGTTTCAAGGGATCAGTCCTGCGGAGCCTTTAAAACAAAACAATTTAGTTTATCTAATACCCTATCTGAAATGATTATCAGGTCAAATACATACATCAAACTAGTAGTCAGACAGGCTAGTTGAACATAAAAAGCAAGCAGCAAAATCTAGATTGGTTTGACCCATATAAAATAAGAAATCTAGAGAATAGTTCAGCCATAGCATTACATGCAATCACACACAATCATACAATAAGAGGGGATAGGATGACAGTTTTAAAATCTAATGTAACAGCTGGGTGGAGGGAGAATCTAATAACAACGGAAGCTTTGTTTATCGAATCAACTGAATGAAAGTATGTGTTACAGGAATGATTCAACACCTGTCCAGCCAGATATCTGGAAAATTCAAGCTTCGAATTCGTGTGATTATCATTGATGATATGATCATCCAGTCAATAATAATACTGTTTCACTGTGTGATACATCTAATAAACAAACTAATATGGAATTACTTACCACCCCAGTGCCCAAGTTTTACACATATATTAAAATTTATATAATCATGAAATCAGGTTATTGCTTTTCAACCCGCGGTGTATTAAATTTCGATTTCATGAGTTCTTCTAATCATGTTAAAATAAAATGAAACTAAATGTGAAGAGATTACCCCCTTCTTCTTTCAGGTGAATGTCTAGTACACTCCAAGAAGAAGAAGATAATCTGCAGCTTTCACAGTGTCTTCTAGACGAGTTAAGTCAACAACTCTTACCATATGGTTTTGATGCATCACCTTTCTTATCCGGTTGGTATAATGCAGCTGTTAGTCGAAAAGTTCAACTAGGCAAAGATCTAACCGCCTATGATGATTGTCTTTGCATTTGTCTCATCAGTAATCCTCAAATGTTTGAAAAAACTTTTATACCAACTATTTGTGAATGGTTTAAACAGTCAGAGGGAGATTCATTTGAGGAAGTATTAAAACGTATGAGAAGTAAATTCTCACGATTTAAATTTCCACCTGGTTCAAGTGATCCTTTTGATTGGGCAGTTTTTATTCGATTACAAAAAGTATTAGAAATTTGCATTGCAAATATCAAAAGTCAATTGCCTTCAAATGAGTTGGACAAATTTGATGGTGCACAGTGGATACCAGATTATGCGATAAGATTAGTTACTCGACTGCCTTATGTTCATGTACAGACAGCTGGTCATGTATCCGGAATGGCGTATTTTCATCAACCTAGTGAAATGATTAAACAACGTTCACGTGAACAAACAGGACAACCTTATTGTGGAGTTAGCTTACATCCAAAATATGGTGGTTGGTTTGGATTTCGGTAAGTCTTTTATGCATTAAAATTTGAAAGAAATGTCAATTATTTCTTAACTTTATGCGCTTAGATACTGCATTTAATGTATTCCAGTCGAAACCAAGCTGAAGTGTTTATTATTATACCTTTAGGTCCCAGATGGAATATAGGGATTCAATAGTGCGATTAGTCTAAGATTACCATACAATCTCCTCCATGTCACGCTTACACTCATTCTCAGCTCGTCGTTTCCCATTCGGGTTATATTCGACATCTTGGCTCACGATGTCACTCAATAAAAACAGTTAGCCGTAGGTGACGAAATAGTATTACTAACCTGAAAAGGCTTTAATTAATTCCTTCTGTTAATGATAAACCCCGAAAGAGAAAAAGGCTTACGATCAGATTAATAGTGACTTCTCATGGTAATACATGCCGACAAATGTAGGTTGCTAATTTGAACCATGGGATATGTTATTATTATTGTTCCCTTGAGTTCCTAGTGGAACATAGGGCTTCAACTGCACGTCTCCACTTGCTTCTGTCTTCCTTCTGCTGTACTTTTCACCTGCATCCATGTTAGTCCATACTCTTTCAACTCCTCTTCACACGATCTCCTCCATGTCACCCTTCGACGTCCCACACGCCGCTTCCCTTTTGGGTTCCACTCGAGCAATGACCTGACGCGCGATGTCACCCAGCGGTCTCCTCAGCGATTGTCCAATCCATCTCCACTTTCTCCTACATATTTGTTGGTCGATTGGTTCTTGTTTTGTTTGTTCCCATAGTTTCTTGTTGGTGATACTTTCCGGCCCGGCCATCTGATCTTCAGTATAGATCCAGCGAAGACAGTTAGTTGTTGATAAAGGTCTGCAATAGCCAGCCTGTTGGAAATATTCTTTGTGACCCGCCCGCCCACCAAGTTTCTGATTCATATAGAAGAACTGACTGACTTGACGTTGTTTGTATTGAAAATCTGACCGAATTTTGTTGTTGATCCCGGCTGAGTGACGGAGATTTGCAGATTGATTTCAAGTTGATGAATGTGTTTCTCGCCTGCCTTCCCGATTCTCGCTTGATTTGACATCCTCGTCCGTTCCGACTGTTTGTAGTTGAGACAATGCTCCCTCCCTAGATAGGTGAATGAATGAAGTATCCCCTTTCAAACCCCTCCCGTTGATGGTGATTGGCGCTGGATGTTGCTGCTGTTGTTGTTGTTGGTTGGTTATTTTCATCATCTCTATCTTGTCTATGTTCACCTGCAGTCCTGTCTTTGATGCTTCTTTGACCAGTTTATCGGTTTTCGCTTGTAAGTCTTCGATTTTGTGTGACGTCAAACATAAATCATCCACTCGCGAAATCCAGGTCTTCTAGCTTCTTCACGTCGGTTCAGGATATTCCTGTCTTCTCGTTTCCCACTGTCTGACGCATAATCCAGTCAATCCACCACAATTAGGAATATCATTGGTGATAGTAAGCACCCTTGTCTGACTCCTGTGTTTACTTCAAACGCCTCGCTGAGTTTTCCGTTGTGGATCACTTGACATATTCCGTTGTCGTGCAGCTGTTGAATAAGGTTGATGAATATTTTGGATACAGCGTAGTACTCGAGCAGTTTCCAAATTACTTCATGGTCAACGCTAACTGTCGAAGGCCTTCTCGAATTCTATAAAGTTGAGGTAGAGGTTTGATTTTCATTCCATGCTGTGTTCTGTGATGATGATGCGTAGAGTTGCAATTTGGTCAGAACATGATTTGCCTTTCCTGAATCCAGCTTGTTCAGGTAGGCAGTAGTTCTGTATCCAGTGCATGCGTTATTCTCTCCAGGATGATGCGACTCAGGATCTTACTTGGAGTTGACAGCAGCATGATTCCTCGCCAGTTCTTGCAGATTCCTAGGTCTCCCTTCTTTGGTAGTTTCACGAGGTAACCTTTCTTCCAGTCAGTAGGCACCCTTCCCTCCTTCCAGACCTTTCGCTGAACCTTGGGGTGACCATATATATTTCATTTGGTTTGTATCACTATCATTCTACGGTCAGGTTAGCTCTAAATGAAGTCTATTCCAGGTAGTTTAATGCTGTGAACATAGCCTCCATTTCCATGTACTATCAAGCTCATTATGCCAGTAAAGCTCTAGAAAAAATCCTCGAATCATTTACAGACTCATACATAAATCTTATCTTGCATGCTTATTTCTTGAAATATTTAGTGTATATCATATAGTAGTCAAAATTTCAGTAGGTGTTAAAGAACTGTGGGGTATGAGTGCAGTTGACCGAAACTCATTCGCCTAAGTCTTTTTGTTACAGAACTCGGAATTACGGTGAAGAATACACATCCAGTGATTCTTCAATTTTTACCTTTTGAACTGGAAAGCTCTAAAGATATGTTTTCTGTGTGGAATAGAGGGGTTCCAATGTTTAGTGTTTGAAGTTTCATTCGGTATGGTGTTGCTGTTACAGCATGGTATTGTTAACTTCACATCCAATCTCCCTCTCGTCGTGTCTGCTTACAGGTTGTTAGGCAGAGTTTAGGAGTAGTTTGCACTGTGACTAACATGTTAGGTGCCTTGTAATCACGGTACACTCCAAATCGTTGTTAGATCTGTCTGTCTGTCTGTTTTCTACGTAGAACTTTGCACATATATGTGGCAGTTCAAGTCGCCACACTCCCCCCATTTAGAACACAAAGAAAGAGAAGAAAGTAGAAGAAATGCATAGTAGAGACAGTAAACAGAGGTGTGAGTCAAAGGAATAGTAATAACGAAGAACATTGGAAATTATAAGTCACAAGAAGGGGATGTATCTACTCCAGCCATTGAGAACGATTTTGAGCCATATCACCCACCAATCATTTCCAACCATTGGTTTTTACCGTCCAGAGGACCCAAACAAATCAGGAAGCCACTCTACACCTTCCTACGTGGCCTAAACTAACTGTTGTGGATTTCATTGACTGATGAGGCCATGTTTTGTTTGACCGCCACTAGCTAGCTCTTTTCCAGTCTGACCTTATGTCAGCTAACTTTACCCGTCAACGAGGAAGGCGATGACTAGGCATACGTAACACATTTCCTAACCATCTCAGTCGATGTAATTTCACAGCCTCATCGATTGATTCCCCATCCTTACCTAGCACTCAATATTGCTCACCCTATTATACCACCAATTGACACGGGAGATAAAATACAGGCACCTGTGATCAAAGACAGCTAGCCAGCCAACCAGCCTTTTCATGTATTTAAAGGAATGTATAAAGTTTTTTTAATACAATAACCTCGTCTTTCTTCTTTTCCTTCTCTAGTGGTATTTACATTTTTCCAAATTTACGTTGTCCAAATTTACCCAAATCAACACCCCTGTCGTATTTTACACCTTCAACAAATGATGGATTCAATTCATCAGGGAATAATAATAGCCAATTAGAAGCTTTACTTTATGAATATAATGAATGTTGGAGTGACAATAAATGGAGAGAATATAAATTATTCAATGATAATAATAATAATAATAACAGCGATTGTAATCATCGTTATTCTAATGATGCTATACTGTATTTTTCAACTGAACCATCAGAACGTGTAAAATTTGTTCAACAATGGTTTAACCGCTATTTAACTAATGCTACTCCAATAATGTGTACTATTGATAAGGATTTATGACTAGTATACCGTGTTCTGCATATTCTAACAAGATCTTGATTCGCTAAGTAACAACTTCACTTCCGAAAGAGCATGAGGACGACGACGAAGTTGGGGGGGGGAATCAGTGTACATTATTATTATTATCATTTCCTTTAATTCCTAGAAGAGCATACGGCTTCAGCCGCGCGTCTCCTTTGCCTTCTGTTTTCTGCCAACTTTTTCACCCCGCTCCAAGTCTGCCCACACGCTTTCATCCCTCTTTTCACATGACCTCCTCCAAGTCACCCCACCATCGCACTGACGACCAACCCGCCGCTTCCCTTTCGGGTTCCACTCGAGCAATGGCTTGTCTAGTAATGTCACTTGATGGGTTTTTTTCTCAGAGTATGACCAGCTAATCCATCTCTATTTCTTCTTGCCTATTTGTTGTACAATCGGTTCCTGCTGAGTTGGTTCGCTCATTGCCAGAGATCCCTGTTGTTGATCTTTTCTGGCCGGCTGGCCATCTGATCTTGAGTAGCATTGAGCGAAGACAACTGTTAATGAAGGTCTGTAGTTTGTTTGAGGTGCTGTTTCTGACGCGCTGGCAAAGTCTCTGATCCATCCGTATAGTGAGTAGCACTGACTGTACAGTATGAAGGCGATAAATGGTAGGATAGAAACAAATTATTTTTCTTCGTGTTATTCAAAATGTTCTATTTTCAAGTGAAGCTCCTCGATGTTTTACCGTTATATACTAGGATTGGTATTGCCTACACAAACAAACAAACAAACACGCACTCACTCACTCACTATTCGGGGATTTAAAATTATAACCCTCCTTCTTCTTAACAAACAAAACATGATTTCAATTATCAAAATTCATTGCATATGTATACGCTGACTACTAATGAAGTGAGTGTTGTTGGGTTTCGATGTGGAATAACTCTCACTGCTTGTAACACAATTTCATTGTCATGACTGTTTTTTTTATCTTGTATTTTACAGTCGCCTATAATGGCATTTACTAATTACTATCCTGTATTATTAGCCTATTTTAAAAGAGTATATCTATAATGTAAACCTGATCGATAATTTGTTTTCAACATAAATAGAAGAAACATTGACGCAAAATAATCTGGATCCATTTTATTTATGTTGGTTCTCAGCACTCTGATGACTCGCCCCTTAGTAACACTCTTTGTTGTTTTCTAATTTTGTTAAATTATCGTTTCACTCCACCCCCTCCCTCCCGTTTATTTTGTTTTTCGCTTGACTATCTTGAAAGAGAGATCATTTTTCTTGATCTTCTGAGTTCTGCTCAGTGTATTATTACATCATCAACTTCTCATCTGACCTCATTTTGATCTTTTCTTATCTAATTACGTAACTATTACTAATTATCTTTTGTTACCATGCCAACAGCACACCTGTTAATTAATTTTTTTCAAGAAACTTCTCTCTACCAAGATATATATATATATATATATATATATACGTTGTAACACTTTAGACACCTGAATCGCGACGCTCTATTTCACTATGACGCTCTGATAATATCCTTGCTAGTGGATAAAAGTTTGTTAAAATTGTACACATTTTTATTTTATTAAAGAATTCAGGTTGTACACAGCTGCTGATGAGAACCGACGAAATAAAATGGATCCAGATTATTCTGCGCGCCAGCGTTTTTTCTTTCTTTGTTCAAATTTGTAAAAGGGAATTATTGTATGAAATTGTATGTATGTTTGGAATGACTCTAGAGGTATTTAAGTACGGTGGAGACAGTTTACTGTCTGCATTAACAGAGGTACTAGACAGCGTCTGGGAATCAGAGGAAATCTATCGGGTTGGTGTAAGTCACTGATTATCTCAACATACAAGAAGGGAGACAAGTCTTCCTGTGATAATCACAGAGGGATTAGCTTGACTAATATAGTATCTGAAGTCCTAGGTTCAATAATATTGCGTAGACTAAGTGGTGCTCTGGGGGCACAAACACGAGAGAACCAGGCAGGCTTTAGACCAGGAAGAGGGTGTATTGATCATATCTTCACCCTCCGACAGATTCTAGAACATAGGAATTCCTACTGGCGTCCAACAATCATTATATTTCTTGACCCAAAAGCGGAATTCCATCCTGTCGATCGAGAGGTTCTCTGGAGATGCTTGGCTGTAAAGGGAATGACGAGAAAATACATTGCACTGATTAAGGCCCTCACTCTATTCGAACTCAATCAGTCAGGTGAAAGCTTACTGCAAGTTGCCACCTGAAATGGTGACGACTAGTGGTGTCCGTCTAGGATGCCGATTATCCCCTTTTCTATTCAACTTCATCATAGATGTACTAATGGACTTAACCCTAAGTGACTTCAGCGACTCAGGGACTGACTTGATACCACCAGGGAATAATGTCGTTGACTTAGAATATGCAGACGATATAGTCCTTCTAGGCGCGGATGCTGAAAAAATACAGTCTTCTAAACACCTTGAGCTGCAATCTACGAATGTTTGGCATGCGATTCGCTCCCGTCAAATTCAAGATGATGTAACAGGACTGGACTACACCGACTCCTAGATTAGAAATAGGGGGTGAAGTGGTAGAGCACGTTGACCACTTCACTTACTTGGGAAGTAACATCACCCAGTGCCAACGGGTTGATCTTTGACGAAATCTCAGCACGAATACAGGGGGCTCGTTTCGCATTTCCAGTTTACGCCGTCTCTGGCTTAGTAGACGTGATATCCAGCTGGCTATCGACCAAAGGGCGGGTGTACTGCCCATCAGTCCGCTCCGTCCTCCTTTATGGTTGTGAGACCTGGCCACTGAGAGTGGAAGACATGGAAAGACTACCTGTCTTTGATCATAGGTGCCTGCGCTCTATTTCCCGTGTAAAGTGGCATAATAAGGTGAGCAACATTGAGGTTAGGCGTCCAGTGCTAAGAAAGGAGGGGAAATCAATAGACGAAGTCGTGAAGTTACAAAGACTGAGATGGTTAGGACATGTGTTACGTATGCCTAGTCATCGCCTTCCTCGTCGATGGGCAATGTTAACAGATATAGGGTCAGACTGGAAAAGAGCTAGCGGCGGTCAAACCAAAACATGGCCTCATCAGTCAATGAAATCCACAACAGTTAGTTTAGCCCACGTAGGAAGGTGTAGACTGGCTTCATGACTGACTGGTTGGGGTCCTCTGGACGGTAAAAACCAATGGTTGGAAACAATTGGTGACATGGCTCAAAATCGTTCTCAATGGCTAACTCAGATGCATCCACTCCTTGTGACTTATGATTTCCAATGAAACTGTTTTGTTCTTCGTTATTACTCCTCCTTTGTCTCACACCTCTGCTTACTGTCTCTATTATGCTTTTCTTGTACTTTCTTCTCTTGCTTCGCGTGCTACACGGAGTGTGGTGACTTGAACTGCTGCACATCGGTGCAAAGTTCTATGTCGAAAACAGACAGACAGATCTAACAACAATTTAGAGTGTACCGTGATTCCAAGGCACCTAACATGTTAGTCACAATGCAAACATGCGTAACAGATGTCCTAACCATCTCAATGCATGTAATTTCACAGCCTCGTCGATTAATTTCCCCTCCTTACCTAGAACTCGACGCCTAACCTCAATATTGCTCATCTTATTATAGCACTTCACACGGGATATAGAGCGCAGGCACATATGATCAAAGACAGCTAATCTTTTCATGTCTTCCACTCTCAATGGTTAGGTCTCACTGCCATAAAGGAGGACGGAGCGAACTGTTGAGCAGTACACTCACCATCTCACTGATGTCATCATCGAGGAACTGTTCAGTGATCAGGCTATTTTGTGTCTCACCTGCTCCTCCTGCTGTTGTCCTTACAGGCCTTGGAAAAGTCCAACAATAAGTGAGCCATAAGATATTCGATAAAAGCAGCTTAGATTATGAAAAAAAGTATCTCGGGAATAAGTGAAATACTACAGTTGCCCTCGTTAACCAATTTTCTCTCATAATATTAATTACATCTTAATATAGGTGTAAAACTTGGGCACTGTGGTAGTAAGTAATTCCATATTAGTTTGTTTATTAAATATATCACACACAGTGAAACATATTATTTACTGGATTGGCACTTTTGTCCTAAGTTCGAGTTCTTGCTCAGAAATGAGTTCGTTTCTGACTCCCTCTATAGCCATATCCAGTAAATAATACTGTTTCACTGTGTGATACATCTACTAAACAAACTAATATGAAATTAATTATTTCTAAAGCTGTATTCATCTCCTACAAGGTTGTATCGCGTTATTGTCATAGACTTTCCACACAGACACAGAAGTCTTCATGGTTCTATTTAATCTCTTCCTGACACAGTAGTTAAGTAGGCGATCTACATGAAACTTATTAAGGAAAACCATAAAGACAGTCAAGATTTCTATTTGCAATGACCTTCCACAAAGTCTTATGAATCCGATTGGTTCTTCAAGGTCACCTTTTGACAGATCTTCACTATGGCTATGATAGTCTAAGTCTTCCGTGTGTGTTGACCAGCAATCAAGCCTTCAACAAGTGAGTGAGATTAGGGAATACTCTGTCACGGAATCACGGACCCTATCATTCATAATAACAATAATAGTTTTATGAAAGAAAAACAAGCTTTCATTACTCTCAAGCCTGTGTGGAGATGAACAGCACTCAGCATGAAGATAAAAATAAGATCCGGATTTTCAACTCCAATGTGAAATCAGTGCTACTAAAAGGGATGGATCAGAGACTTGGCGTGTCATGAAGAGCACTTCGTGCAAACTACAAACTTTCATCAACAGCCGTCTTCTCTCAATACTCAAGATCAGATACCCGGCCAGAAAAGATCAGTAACAGGGGTCTGTGGCAATGAACGAACCAAGTCAGTGGGAACCGATTGTGCAATAAATATGCAGAAAGAAGTGGAGGTGAATTTGCCATACTCTGAGAAAACCATCAAGAGACATCACACGACAGGCCACTGCTTGAGTGGCACCCGAAAGGGAAGTGGAGAGTTAGTGATCAGTGTGAGGGTCATATGGAGAAAGTCATGTGAAGAGGAGATGAAAGCACGTGGACAGATGTGGAGAGAGGTGAAAATGTTGGCGGAGAAGTGAACACAATGGAGGCGTTCGACTGAGGCCCTATGTTCCTTTAGGAACTAAAGGAAACAATAATAATAATATGAATAGTAATTGTGGAAAGTAAAAACAATTTAGTTATACGCACAAGTGTTCAAGTAGAAGCAGGATATAAAGACTCAGAAGAATATATAGTAATATTAACCTTCAGACAATAAAGAAGACAATTGCAGTGAAGAAAATTTTCTTTTCGACGAAGTCATCATCCAGGGTGTACATTCGTGTATTTATATCAAATGGATGGAAAAGTTCCAGAATAAAAATCCGGTCAAGGGTGAAATTAATAAACATTAAAATTAGGAATTAGAATGCCATAATAAACAACAGGGGGACGGATAAAACAAACAAAGTAGCATGATGATAGCTAGGAAGATTGACATTGTGCAATTAGGGGTTAGAAATGTAGAAATAACAAAAGTCGACAGGATGTTTGGATAAAAAAACTAATGTGATGAATAATTTTTTAAGCAATCAGAGATTAAATATGTAGAAATAGTAAAATGACAAAATAAACACAAAGTTCTGGTATGAAAATATGTTAGTGTAAACAGGGATTAAGAAGAACTTATGAAAATAACATGAATAAACAGGAAGTTTTGATAAGGAAGGCGATGGGATGGTCATTACTAAAAACATTTACCTGTTTATGATGGTCATGGCAGGGACAGGGGTTGGACGTATTTTCTTTGGATACAAAGCGTGGGTTTGAACTTTTGTGTTTGGTTAGCGCCTCGGCTATGCCCAGATGTCTTGATTTCACTCCCTTTGATAGGTTTGATTGGATCTTGTCTATTACTTTGAAGGATTTTTCGAAAGGTGCTGAATTGACCAGATGTTCTGTCACTGAACTGTATACACGCTTTTGGTCTCCTTTTACTAGTCAGGCTGGGTAGTGTTCAAGCGCATTACTACTATAGTGTAATTAAGTGCTTATTACACAAAATGAAATGACCGAATAGTTATTCATATTATAATTGTAAGATTTTTGTTACAAACCAACAATGGTTAAGAGAGAGAGAGAGAGAGAGAGATCATTTAAAACCAAGAAGCTGTTTCGGCTTATTCTCCAAGACCCTTCATCAGTGTGAATTGCCACCAATCCGTCCCCCGCCTCCTCTAGAGATCGGGTTTGGAACTTTCAGGCTGCAGGATCAAGCTCGTTGATCATTCAACCACCTAAACTGGAATTCAATGACCCACGCATTCTAAATTGAAAAATTGTGATATCTTTAAATATTCCTATTATTAATATTATTAGAACAAGACAATATAAACGAACAATATTGTTGTTTTCAATTAGATCTTCATCAGGCCTCACTTTAATTTACATAGATTTATATATAAACAAAATAATTTAACCAATGACGGTGATTTTGTCGGCGAAACGATAATAACAATAATAATAATGTGGTCAATGTTTTGAACGTCAGTAATACCTATGATTATAATGATAAGAAAATAATGAAGAGCCTGTGGTGGCTTACACACCGAAACGTTCAGAAAAATCTTATTTCGATTTCTTC